TCAACTACAACACCCCAACTACAACTACAAGTACAACCTCAACTACAATTATTACAACTACAACTACATCTACAAGTGCCACTGGAACTACAGCTGCAACTACGACTACAGCTGCAACAGCTATTACAACTAGACTACAACTGCAACCGCAACTACAGCTGCCACTACAACTGCAACAACAACTTCACCTACACTACAACTGCAACTGCAGCTGCAACTTGGACTTCAATTTCAAATATACTACAACATTAACAATTACCACGACACTACAACTACAACCGCAACTACAACTACAACTACAACATTACAACTTCAACGACATCAACCCAACTACAACTACAGCTACAACTACAACTGCTGCACTACACAGCACTACATCCAGGAGCTGTGAGTGGGGCGACCACTGCAACCATTGCAACCACTCCAAAAAGTACAACTCCAACCACCTTTCGGAACATCAGTGGATTCGCTCTGCCATCCATGCATCACAACAACGAACCTCTCCTATAGGTTTCCTATTTTTGAAACTTCCGCCACCGCCTTGTGCGGCACTACTGGTTATATATATATATATATTATCGAAGGAAGTTTTGAACTCAAACTTCCGACAATATGGACAGATGAAAAAGCAGAGGTGGGAAGAGTCAGAGAAGAGAAGAGGAGAAGAAAGAAGATCAAGAAGAGAAAAAGTCATAAGAAAGAAGATGAAGGGGCGGGAAAAGGTAGGAAAGTCGCGAAACGCGGTGTAGTGTTTGTCCAATGTTTTGTGGCTCCGGAGGGTCGAAAAGTACGAGTAGGCTCCCTAAAGCGGCGGGTGCGGAGCCATCTGGGGAGATGAGAGATGAACAATTGCACGCCGTTGTGGCGCGAAGCACATTTGGAAGTGAAACGGCTAAAAACACATCACGTCCAGAGCACTTTTGCAAGTTGAGATGATGAAAAAGTGCATGCCCTTATGATGCGAAGCACATGTCGAAGTCAAAAAGCACAAAAGCACACCATGCTCGGAACACTTTTGAAAGATGAGATGTTCAAAAAGTGCACGCCGTTGTGGCGCGAAGCACATTTGCAAGTCAAAATGGTAAAAACACTACGTGTTCGCGCCACTTTTGGACGATCGGATGTGGAAAAAGTGGACGCCGTTGTGGCGCGAAGCACATTTCGAAGTCAAAATAGTGAAAGCACCACATGTTTGCGCCTCTTTTGGGCGATCGGATGTGGAAAAAGTGAACGCCGTTGTGGCGCGAAGCACATTTCCAAATCAAAATGGTAAAACATGTTCGGACATGATCGGACCACTTTTTCGACCTTCAACCTCATCACACTACACAACAACGACAGCAACAACAACAACAACAACAACATCATCAACAACAAAAACAACAACGACAAAAACAGCGACGACAACAACAACAACAACAACGACACCAACAACAACAACAACAACAACAACAACAACAACAACAACAACAACAACAACAACAACAACGACACCAACGACACCAACGACAGCAACAGCAACAGCAACCGCAACAGCAACAGCAGCACCACCAAACTACTACAACTACTACAACTACTACAACTACATACAACTACTACAACTACTACAACTACTACAACTACTACAACTACTACAACTACTACAACAACTACTACAACTACTACAACTACTAACTACTACAACTACTACAACTACTACAACTACAAGTACTACAACGACTACAACAACAACAACTACACCTACTACAGCTACAACTACTACAACTACTACAACCACTACAACTACTACAACTACTACAACTACTACAACTACTACAACTACTACAACTACAAGTACTACAACTACTACAACTATTGCAACTACTGCAGCTACTGCAGCTACTACAACTACACATAGAACATTGCAACTACAACAACATCAACTACAGCAACAGCTACAGCTGCAAAATACAACTACAACCTACAACGACAGCTGCAATTACAACTCCGCTACGCTAAAATACACTACAATACTTTCCACTTTACCACACTACACCACTACACTGCACGACACTACACCTACACCTACAACTTCAACTGCAACAGCATCAACTACAGCTACAACTTCAGCTACACTACAGCAACAGCTTCAACTACAACTACAGCTGCAACTACACCACGCCACACCACGCCACACCACGCCACACTACATTCAGCACTTGTGGATGAGTTGACCACTGCAACCACTCCAAAAAGTACAACTCCAACCACCTTTCGGTCCATCAGTGGATTCGCTCTGCCATCCATGCATCACAACAACGAACCTCTCCTATAGGTTTCCTATTTTTGAAACTTCCGCCACCGCCTTGTGCGGTACTACTGGTAGTTATATACTAATGATCTCAAATCAAATCGGAAAAACAACCACACTCCACCAATCCCAATTTGGCATGGGACCCGCACCGAGGTCCTTCAGAAAACCAAGCCTTCCATAGAGGTTGCGGAACAAAGGCGCAAGTACCTGGAGGAGTCAGCCAGCATGCATTCCAGGTTGCAAGTATCGCTCCAGCAGGAGTTTGCGACTGGGTCATAGAATCTTCAACATACCGGAGATATGCACAAGCGAATACTTGCGATCATGGCAATCGCTCTGTTCCCACAGTTTTGTTGGATCTTGAGGCTTTATATATCTTTATATGCAAGAATGCAGAGCTGTAGAGCGCATCTATTTTTTTGCAGTCTTGCATGGCCTCTCCTGAAAGCCTTGTAGGGTCTGGGGCGGATTCGTCGATAAAAGATTACCGTGTGGTCTCAAATGAGCCGCATCGCATCTTTCAAAACTGCAGCAGCAGCGCCTGCTTATCACCAAGTGAGGTGCCTGTCTTTGATGTCTTGCTTTGAACAGTGGGTACTGTACCGTTGTAGGTATTCGGGATCTGGTCTACCATATAAAGGACATTTGATAGACCGTAACTGCAAACGAACATGTTGTTGTCATCGGGTCGGTCAACCAAATTCGGGCACTTGCAAAATGAGATTGCTTTTATCATCGAGACGATCTTTCCAGGTAAGGATGGACAATTTGAAAGTATCTGAGAGCAGCAACCAGCAGTGCTGCTTCTGGATGCTGCAGAACCGGAAAAAGGATCCACCGTTGGGTGGACCTGACAGTCTTCTGGTTGGTGGTATCAGTCCATGACAAGAATCTTCGTGAATTAGGGACCAGCTTCCTACAAGCAACTAGTGATGGAGAAGTAGGACTTACCTGAAACCACAAACCAGTATGAAAACGAAATGATATCACAAGGATCTTCAAAGAGAACCAACATCTCCAGAATCACATCCTTAGGAGAGATTCCAAGCGGCCCGCGCACACACACAGACCCATATATGCACCCAGCACCTCGCAAGGAAGACATCGTCAATAGGTTCAAACATTGAGGGATGGACTTGAAGGCTCTGAACAATGTAGAGTGCAGTGAACTTTGATCTCACAGGTCAGTGCTCCTTCCAGGACCCTTCCATCCGTCTTATCATCACTATCCACCAAGCCAACTCAGGCTCATTCTTTTCAGAAGGGATAACGGGAGAACCTTGAGAGTGCATGAATTTCCTCGTCTCTCACCATATTTCACACAGAATGTCACAAACATATCCACACCAAGTTTCTACATATGGAGGTCCTAGGGCAAAAGGTTAGTTTACTGGATTCTGAAAAATGATGAACAACGCGTTTTCGTTGTGGCGAAATTGCCAATTTTACACTTTCCCCATGGAATTACGAAGAACAAAAGCATGTCTTCACAAGCTGTAAAGTGTACAGGAATTGAAGGATTAACACAAACTGAGAAGGTCAACGTGTAACAAAATACACGCGGCCGTCTGAAGACCGTGTACTGTGACTACTGTGTGCCGAGTTCCATGTTGTTTCAGGCCTTGCTTCCTGCTTCACTGTATATTGGGCCGCACATGAGTATTAGAAAACATGAGTATTAGAAAACCTGCAATATGCTGCCATTTTTCACAGAAACAATCTTCAATTTCTTTATGTTATGGAATGCTGAATTACCCTTTTTGTGTCCATTGTTTTGCCTTCGTTTTGGAATAGTGCCTCTGCAAAAAATGTTCAGATCCACATAGATCCACAACATACATGTCCAATATTTTCCCATTGCACTAGTGCTCTTGGTTATTTGACATGCTACAATGTCTTCAGAGTGTTCACTAAAGACCAAAACATAGGATACTGCAATTTCTCAAGTGTAGCACTCTTGAAAGAATTGGTTTATTATGTCTATTACTAAAGAAGCAGGTTCCCTGTGTCAAATTGCAAACATAGTAAGTTGTATCCAAATGGCAAGAGACTTGCGAGCAATCCAGTAAGTACATTCGACAATCATTATGCAGTTCTCATATTAATCCAGGAACGGTGCATTTGCGCTATGGGTTTTGTGTGATGTTTTTTTTGAGAAACATAGAGGTTTCAAAACATGTTGCATTTTGTTCTGAACATGATGAACAGGCTTTGTAGTGGGAATGACTTGTAGGCATGAACATGGGGGGTTCAATGTTAACAGCTTGCGCCATACCCGTCATGGCCGGCATAACCCAGGAACAAGGATGAGGCGCTTGATTCGATTTTGCACAGTTTTGAAGCACGTACGATTTCCTCAAGAAAATATAAGAACATGCAGCTAAGTTTTGATAGAAGACTTGCATGTTCCAATTGAGAAATCAGCTATCTCTGAAAGGAGGAATTGCAGGATGGGTGATGGGTGCACCTTTTTCAAGGCATTGCCAACATATCCCCACCCACAAACAACCATGGACCTCCCGAGCAAAATTGTTCATATTTTGTGAATTTTGTGATTCTTTCAAACAAATAACATGTTCCAAAAGGAATACCGCAGGTTTGAGTAAGAATGTGGCAGGGTTTTCTGAATGGCTATATGTACTATATTCTGCATTTAGTGATGGATGTCTCCCACAAATACTGCATTTGTTGCCCTCAATGTGTTTTACACACATATAATATATCATATCATATCTACTTGCTTATTATCAGTAGATCTCGTGTTCTTTACAAGTCATTAGATGCGTGTTTTACCTGGTATTTGCATAAGTGTCCCTAGATATGTCACTTACAATGTCCTCAAACATAAGCACTCTCACAGCTTCCTGCTCTGTTTTCTATTCTAGGCACAAGTTTTAGTCCAGTTTTTCGTCGTCGACTCTAAAGTATTATCTCCTAACGAAAGAACAGAACATTTAGTCGGTCTTTTCCAGCGAACACGTCGTGATTTTGATTTCACACTACGAAGCAGTTACATGGGGTTGCGTCAAAATTTGGGTATGGATTGGCCCGCGGTGATCCAGACGTATGGATCGGTCTGGATAACCTGCGTTTTGGTATGGATCGGGGGTATGGAATGTATGGATCGGCCTGTGGGTTCAGGGTATGGATCGGGGCTTTCCATTTTGACTCGTAGCCATATATTTCCTTTCAACAAACAGAACTCAGTCATGTTCGTGTTTGTGTGTGTGCGCGGGCCAAAGTCATTAAAGTCTCATGAATGATGACCAAAGTGATTCGGGTAAACCGAAACATTGGCACTTCATGTGGATGGTACAGCAATTGCAACTGCTTTGCGGGCTGCCAGGATCAGGCCGTTGCCGTGGGATGCTGCCTCTTACTGCTATGTTGGCCCCTTGTTTGTTGGATGGTTGATCCCCTCTCATTGTTTTAACATGTCTTAACTGGGCTATATGGTGATGTCTTGTACCGTAAACCCATCTCATCACCTAAAAAGTCAAACATCTGGCACCCATCCATCCAGATTAGCATCGGATTTTCAAGAACACAACGTACATCTTGTCTCCAAAAGGCACTTGAGACAACTATTATCAAAGGTAGGCTACTAAGTTGATTCAGTATTAATTCCACTGTGTGACCAGCCCTACCCAATCCAGTGTTTTCCATCAACAACTAAGATTACCATGATGCGCCCCAGTTGGAGCACTCCTAACCTACCCTTGGCGACGGTTCAACAAGACATGGATTCGATTTGAACATGGCGATGCCCGTTTATGGTCAGGTATGGATTCAGCAAGGGAACATGGCGGTGTGTCCAAACCCTCCGGTGGTTTTGAAATGGCAGCCCCTGTATCAATTCGTGTTCAGAAGGGGTTATAATGATTTACCCCGACTTATGAATCCTGGGTTTGCTGCTGATGTGCTTAGGACCCCAGCCACGGAACTAGATTCCAAATGTATGTTGGTAAATTCTAGCCCATTGAGCTACTATCAGTCACTAGCTACATACTAGCTATTAGCATCTAATAGCTATTCACAAAACATCACAGGCAACCAGCAGCCAACAACCTGCAACCAAATGCAACATATGCCAACCACATTGCAAACCTGCTATATAGCCTGTCCAGAATTTTCGTGGCTTCCGAAACTTGGTCAAGACTTGAAGGGCCAGCATATCATGGGGCATTAAATTGAATAGACATTGCATGATATCATGTCAGTAGTGTCTTCTCACCACTCCGGTCCCCTCAAACGAAAATCTGAAGGGGACAATAGTCAGATTCTACACACAATCGATGATATACTGCGATACACTTTTTTTAGTGTGCCTATCTATCCCCAGCTTGTCGCTGTGATCGTCAGCAGCCCGCTTTTTTGCCCGCCATAAATAAACGGGGATTGTGCAGTACTAACTCTTTCGAATCAGTTTCTGAAGTCGAAAGTCATCACAAATTTCTTTCAAGGAACCGACGCAATTGCATGATGGCACAAGCACCTACGCATGGGTGCGCCAGTTATGGTTCTGCGGAGTGGCTGCTCACTGCATGTATGTCCCATTCACCTTGCCGCAAAGTGTTGAAGCTGGTATCTATCCCTGGACAAGTCTCATGTTTGTATAATAGATGTATATAGGGTGATTTGTCTACTCTAAGTGATTTGAGGGAAAAGCGGCAATCAACTTCCAACCAAACCCAATAAATAGAGCTAAGTTTCAAGACATCAAAATCCCTCTAGGAAGCCAACTCGAATATTGTTTTATGATGTATTTCATCATGTTTTATGGTTCTGATATGGTGACTGATAGGACTTTAGGATCTGGTTTCGATAGGCTTTAACTTCAGGTTATGATTTCGATATTGTTTTAGATGCTTTTGATACGATGCCGATATGATTTTGATACGACTCTGATATGATTACGATGTGTTATAAACAAAACAAACAAACAAACAAACAAACAAACAAACAATCACAGTTCTGACTCCTGACACATACGAAAACACAAATTTGACCATATCAGAATCACATTGACATGATAAAATCATAACTGTAAAACCAGGCAACAGAAAAAACAACAACACACAGTAATCATACCTTGAACCATCCTAAATCATATCAAAGTCATGACCAAAATGAACATCCTTTATCCTAGAACCTGCTGATGTCTTTCAAATAGAGAGCACGACTGTGGCACATATGCTCACAACCAA